GGTCGCGCTGCGTCTCGTTGGAAGGATCTCCCATCTCGTCCTCTGACACGGCAACCGGGTCCTGCCGCATGTCACGTGCCCCCGTGTCGATCGCAATGTGGACACGACGTCTGCGTACACGAGACGCAATACTGTCATCCCGCCTACCCCCGTGTCTCAACCGCTTCAAAACGTAGCGACCACGGGGCATAAAATCGCCGTCCACACGCTCATCAACCCTATCGCCACGGCACCCGCTCCGTCCACCATCACCCCCCCCCTCACCGCCTCCACCATCTCCCCCCTCGTCACCGCCACCATCTCCCCCTTTGTCACCGCCCCCGCCTCCGCCACCGCCTCCCCCGCCCTCGCCTCCGTCTCGACGGTGGCGGTGGCAGCCACGGTGGGTGGTTCCGTGAGCGTGGTGGACCATTGGATGCTGCGCCGCTCTCGACGGTGGCGATGGCAGCCAGGGGTGCTCCGACGAACTGCGGGGTGATGCGCCAGGTGCCACCGCAGTTCCACCCCGTGCGACATCAGACTGCCTAGCACTCCTGAAAACAGGGGCGAGCGCGGGCGCTGAACTGCCGGCACTCCCCCCCCACCTGCGACTCTCAATAAATGCACGTGTGCTCTCCTCGTCAAATGTCGCAGAGCCCACACCATCCCTCAGAGGCGGGGGCTCGTTGGCTGGCGTGGAACGACCAACTCCCACATCGCGAGCACCTCGTGTCCCAGCCAGCGGCGCAAACGGCGGGGCTGCCGGTCGTGTTGCAACTGTTGTTGCAGGACGCGGTATCGTGACTCGAATGGCCGGAGCCCCAGAATTGGGCGATGCGACGACTCCAGAAGGGGTGGTGGGAGGAACCAGCGGCGGCACCGCGTCCTCGGGAAATCGAAGAGGTGGCCACTGCAAGCTCGGATGACCTGGCAAGTGGCTCTGCAACGTTTCTATGGCCGACACGAACTCCTTTGGACATTTTGTCATGTCCTTCGACCAGATCGCATTCCACACAGCAGGAGTGGCTGCCTCACATCGAAACTTCTCGCTCTACGAGAAGTGCTCCCTGGCGGCTTTAGCGTCCCCACAAATCGAACGCCCGCACAACCTGCATAGGCATCGACAACCGCTCTTCTTGCCCGCCACCGTCGACCCATCCAAATAACGCCCTCTGGCCACGAAATGCCACACCAGGTCGTCCCGCTTGCCGTCGACTGTCGGGTCGACCTTGAATGGCGAGTCAAACGTCTTCCTGTTATGACCTTGTCGGGCGGTCGTGAGCGAGTCTGACGGATCCTTCCCCCGGTCCTGCGACATGATGAAAATCGCCAACCGCGAAAAAAAAAGACGATGTCGGAACCCTCTGAGAATGTTGCCAACTCGCAACAGAGATCG